TGGTTATGGAGGGCTAGGGATGAGCCTACCCAGGGCCAGTGTCGAAGGGAACCAGGAAAAGAGAGCCCCTCCAAGGGCAGGAGCCATGCAAGGAAAAAGCCAGAAGTACTCAGCGATAGGACTGTATCCCATAGTGCGCTTCCTTCTCCCTCGGTCCCTTCTCAGAGTGTGGCAGGAGTGGTGGAGAGCCTGAAGATCATCACCAAGGCCAAGTCCCTGCGCATTGCCGAATACGCCTTCAAGCTGGCCCACGAGACTGGGCGTAAGAAAGTGACTGCTGTGCACAAGGCCAACATCATGTATGTCCTCCACATCCTCTTGCCTACTCTGTGAGCAGCCCTGAAGCAGCCAGAAGGACCTGCTCAGGTCTGCTCTCAGGGACTTGGGGTCTAGGATACTGGCTGCCCACCGAGGGACCACACCCAGGGGTGTGCCCTGTTGTCCCCGAGGGCTTCCACGGCCCTTTGCATACCTTGTCCCTCCAGCTGACTACGGTGATGGGCCAAACTGGTGTCCTGTGTCTCCCTATCCCACCTCTGCTTAGGAAACTGGGTGATGGGCTTTTCCTCCAGTGCTGCAGGGAGGTGGCAGCTCGCTACCCCCAGATCACCTTTGAGAACATGATTGTGGACAACACCACCATGCAGGTAATCAGCCCACCTGGCTCCATAGCCTGCTACCCTGGGAGCCCCTGGCTCCTCACGCTCAGCCTTCTCCTTGCCCTGCAGCTGGTATCCTGGCCCCAGCAGTTTGATGTCATGGTGATGCCCAATCTCTACGGTAACATTGTCAACAACGTCTGCGCAGGGCTGGTCGGAGGCCCAGGCCTCGTGGCTGGGGCCAACTATGGCCATGTATACGCAGTGTTTGAGACGGTGAGTGCCAAGATGCAGCCATGCTATCTTTGTTTCGTAGCAGCCTTGTTGGGCTATAATTCACATCCCGCACGGTGCTGTGTAGCCATCAGCACTGTTTAAGTTCCAATATTTTTGATACCCTGAAAGGAAGTCCCATACCCATGAGCATCCCCGTTCCCTCTCCCCAGCCCCTGGCATACCTCATCTGCTCCCTGTCTGGGGGTATGCCTCCACTGGACATGTCAGGTGAGTGGAGTCACGCTCTTACGTTTTCCACCTATTCTCCTTTCTCTTCCAGGCTACAAGGAACACAGGCAAGAGTATTGCCAACAAGAATATTGCTAACCCCACGGCCACACTGCTGGCAAGCTGCATGATGCTGGACCACCTAAAGTAAGTGGCTTCTTGATGCCCGGCTCTGAGCCCCCGGCCAGCCCTCTGGGCCCTGAGGACCAAAGGCTGGCTTTTCCCTCCTCTAGGCTCCATTCCTATGCCACCTCTATCCGCAAAGCTGTCTTGGCATCCATGGACAACGAAAACGTGAGGCTCCTCTTGTCCCCTCTCAGTGTCCCCTCCTTTACCCATGTTGAGCTGGTGTGACCAGCCTGAGGGGCTGGAAACAGCCACTGACACTGACTGCGGCCCCCAAAGGGAGGGTGGTATCAGACAGGGTAGGGCATCTGGGCCTTAGTTGGTATCACTGCCATCCTGTTGATAGTTCCAGGCCCTGCCAAGCTATGAGAGACAGTGGGCAGCCCTGGGCCACCGATTGGGTGGAGGCAGATGTTGGTGAGCCTGGTGTACCCAAGCGTCCTGTCTCCTACAGATGCACACCCCAGACATCGGGGGCCAGGGCACCACATCCCAGGCCATCCAGGACATCATCCGCCACATCCGCATCATCAATGGCCAGGCCGTAGAGGCTTGAGCTCTTCCTGGAACCATCTCAGCCCGTTCCTGGACCCTTATCACTCTAGCCAGCTTGGTGGGCAGACTGTAGAATAAAACAGCTTCTTCCTCAGACCTTGGCATGTGCTTTCCTCACTCTGGGACACTGGTGTTTCAGTTCACACTTTATTAAGAAAGAAACACTTTCCCACCCAGAGGACCCTCTAGGTCCTCAGACACACTCTAAGACATGGGCTTGACCTCAGCATCTCTGCCCTGCATGGGGAGTGAGAAAGCCGGCACCCAGCAGGGTGGGTGAGGGCAGCTCCTGCTTTCCTTCAAGGCACTGAGAACTATGGCAAAACTGGCCTGGCCCACAGCCACAGCAGGACTAGGGGTTGAGCCAGGGATGCTGGAGGCAGTCAGCAGCACTGGCCCGCTTCTCAGGGATGTACTCCATCATGGGCAGCAGGAAGGCGCTGAACTGTGTGGCCTGCTCCAAGGGCCACTCGTACTTCTCCATCAGCACCTCGTACAGGCCCCAGTGCTTGAGGTTGTGGATGTGCCGCAGCTCTCCTGGGTGAGGAGGAAGCACCAGTCTGTTCTTAGCTGATTAGCACTGGGGCTCTGCCAAGAAGACCTCTGGCTTCTTGGACCCAGTGTTCCCTCCCTGTCAGACCCAAGGCCCCTTCTCTCCCTTCCTCTAGGCCATGTGACCTGAGCCCACTTAGTCCTCACCTCTCCGGTTGAAGAACTCCCGGGAATAACGGCCTGAGAGGGCAAAGGCTGGGGGGATGTCTCCCAGAAGCTCCACGATGTGAGCGATATGGTCTGTAAACAGGGAGGAGGTAGGTGGGTGAGTGGGCTGGAGGGCCCAAGACCAAATCCAGGGCCTGCCTCCCCTACCCTCATCACGACTGTAGTCTTCTCCAGAGTGAGGCTCAAACAGGTAATCACCAGTGGCCAGCTCGAAGGCCTGGAAGGAAGGAGAAGTGAAGCTGTCAGCAGGCAGGCCAGCCCAACATGCCCAAGGTGCAGGGGAAACTAGGTGGGCCTACCATGCATGCTGTACTCCAGATGTCTGCTGGGGGACCATACTCTGCGCCAATCAGCACCTCCACGGCCCGGTACTGCCGAGTCTGAATGTCCTCAGTGAAGTGCTTGTGCTGGAGGCAAAAGGAACCCTGGGAACAGAGGCCAGGCCAGGCTAGCCAGCCCCTATAGCCCCACTGCCTCTGGTTCATGCACCCAAGAGATCCATGGGGCTCACTCTGATCCTTAGGGTTCCTAAACCCAGATGTACCAAGAAGGACTGGCCAGGTGATCCGAGGCTGAGGCTGGCTTCTTTCCAGTGGCCCCATACCCCTTACCCTGAGTCCAGCCCTGTTGACTGGGTAAGACGCTGCTGCCTCATGACAGCAGCAAGAAAGAACTGCCATGTGAGCCCCAGGCCACACAATGGACCCTGTTCTCCACAGGCCCAGGCAGGGCTCCCCACAAGCAGCCTGCCCACCCAAGGTGCTCATACCACCCAGCAGGCATTGCCTAGGTCTGCGATCTTGATCTTGATCTTGTCTGCATTTTGGGGCTCCAGGGGGTTCACCAGGAGATTTGAAGCACCAAATGGTCCTGGGGAAAGAAGAGAAGGGAGAGAGAATAAACCGCCCTAGCTCTTCCTGGCCCTGCTATCCACTGCCCACTGTTCCCCACACTTACTGCTGGGTGATAGGAGACCTCCAGTCTCACGCTGATTAGAGGAGCCTGAGAGGATGGAGCAGGAGGCCGTCGAAAACAGGGAGCCCGAGAAGCCTGAGGTCTGTGAGCTGGGGCTGAGACTGCGGTCGCCCCCAGGGGCAGGGGAGGAGGAGGCTGGGGAGAGGCCGGCCCTGGTGCCCCCAGGGTGGCAGCCTGAAGATGAGGTAGAGCCGCTGCCCCCCTCTAATCTTGAGCCGGGGTCTGGGGAGATGGGGCAGAGGTGTGCATGAGCAGAGGCCTGCAGCCCACATGTGTGCTCTGCAGCCCAGTGCCCCCTCTGGCCCCTCACCCTCGGCCTGGGCTGCGGCCTCCATGGCCTCCAGCCTCTGCAGGTCCCGCAGCCGCTCCTCCAGCAGCCGCTTCTGCTGTTTTCGTTTGCGCCTCATCTTCTTCCTCTTGTTTTTGGACAGCTTACCAGTCTGCCGCCAGAGTCAGGGTCACCCCCCAGGTTCCCTGCCTGGTCCTGGACCCCGGGGCTTCCATGTATGTTGGAATATGGTGCTGCCATACCTCTTGATTCCAGCCTCTCACCCACCTCCCTGCCTCCCATCCTGTTCTGCTCCCAAAGCTGTAGGTTGGAGAGGACCTGGTTAGTCTGCCCCAGTTTCCTGTCCCCTCCCAGCCCCAGTTCAGCCTGAAGTAGATGTTAGGGGAAGACACAGTGCCCTTCCACAGAGGCCGTGGTGGGCCCAGTGGTCTCCAAGGGCAGATTGAGGCATATGACCCACCCTGGGTCATCTAGCCTTTTAAAAGTGCCACTGCAAGAATTCAGGGAGTGGGGCTGGAACAAGTGTGACTAAGGAGGCAAGCTCTGAGGAGATGGCCTCCAGCTGGCTCAGACAGGGAGAGGAGACAGGGAAAAGGGGTGCCACAACTTACCAAGATCTCCTGTGGGGCAGTGCTGACTGGGGGTACAGGCAGGGGTGGAGGAGAAAAAGGAATGGAGATTCAGGAAGAGATTGAAGCACAGAGGCTCAGACCCAACCCTGCACAAGCTTTTGGCACCTGTAGAGCGGGACGGGGGCGGGGCCCCTGACTGCTGCCATTCTGTGGCCTCAGCAGCTAGGCGCCTGATGTAGGCGTCACCAACACACAGTAGAATGTTCTCGGGCTTGATGTCTGTGTGGATGATCTTGCACTTGGTATGGAGATAGTCCAGGCCATGCAGCACCTGGGGAAAGCCACAACTGAGCTCCCACAGCCACACCCAGGCTAAGCTGAGCCGCTTGGGGTGAAAGGGGGCTGTAGTACCTACCTGCCTCACGATGCTCTTTACACAGGGCACAGGCAGACCCTGGTAGTTGGACTTGATTATCCACTTGAGGAGCTGGTGGCCCAGGACCTCGAGCACCATGCACACATCTGGGGCCTGGAGTGAAGGGTGGCCAGCAGGCACATAGCTGGGGCACTGGCCCTGCCACCCTCAGCTGCAGAGGGGCAACAAGGCTCCAGCAGTGCATAGGTAGAGGAGTCAGGACTTGCCCTGAGCCATCTTGGTGGCCACCACTGTCCCAGTGTTATTATTTATAGTGTCCCTGTCACCATTAGAGGTGTGCCAGTTGGAATGGTACATTTTGTGGTCATCCTAGAGACAGGACACTGGAGGCACATAGAGTCCTCACACACCAGCCCAAGTCCTATGCCCAGTTACGTTAAAGGGCCTCAGAAGCGGCCCCTGCCATTTGGGGATAACTCAGCAACATCCACAGATAATCACTGCCATCTGGCTACCTACACATCCCAACCCAAATGCCAAAAAGGGCCGGGTTATTTTGTACACTGTCCCGCGTGAGGGATAGACTCCCATCGGCTTGCAGAACAGCAAACTGAGGCCCTAGTACCTAGGAAGGCATAGCTGGCCCCTGTGCCGCCACACTGCTCTGCTCATCCTGCAAAGGATACGGACTCCATTAACCCCTGAGATCCTGAAGTCGTCAATAAGCTGAACAATGGTCTCTCTTTTGGGATCACTAGGGTCGCTGTCCCGGACCTGAAACAAAAGCCAAGGGGCTGCAGATAGCTCCAACCTGCTCCTTACCAGCTGCTCCCCACGGCGTCCCCCGAAGCACCTCTAATCCCACTGTCCTGCTCCAGCTGGGTCCTGCTTGAAGAAGAAACCACAGCCCCTCTCCCCTCCCTCTGCCTGCTCCTTCAGGTCCTCCCTCTCCATGCATGGCGGAGGCGGAGCCAGCCCCTGTGGGAGCCCTGGCCTGCTCTGTCCGCAGAGCCCCAGCAGGCTCAGCACCCACATTGCAAGGCCACAGGCAGTTCCTGGGAGCCTGGAGCAGTAGGGGAGGTGCCTCACACATTTCAGGAGCTTGATCTCATCCACAGCTGTCTCCGTGTAATGTCCTGCGCTCTTCACCACTTTCAGGGCAACAAAGCGCTTGCGCCTGCAACACAGAGCCCCTCATTTACTGCCAGTCCTGGCCAGACTCACGTGGCGGGAGATCCCAGCCAGTGATGAGCCCTGGGGAAGTGTGGGGGCCACTCACTGGATATCCCAGCAGAGCCAGACAGTGGAGAAATGGCCCCAGCCCAGCTTCCGCACCACGTGGTACCGTCCATTGAACAGGTCACCAATCTTCACAGGGTAATAACCGCCTGCCAAAGGGGGCCGATAGATCATAGTGGGGACATCTCCCTCCCCTGTCCCTCAGGACAGCTCAGTCCAGCTGGTCATCTGGGCCTGGCCTCTGGGCACCCTCCTTCCAGACTGCCCATAGCCCCTGCAGTGGCAGTCTGACCGCAGGCACCCTAGACCAGGCCTCACCCTTGCAGTAGTCCTTGGGGTCTTCCTGTTCCTCGTCATCAGAGCCCAAGAGCCCCTGCAGCATCCGAGGTGCTGGTGGGGCTGGTGCTAATTCAGAGCCTGAGGACCCAGGCCCGCAGGAGGCCTGTGAGCTGTGAGTGGGGAAGGAGGGCAGGCAGTGAGCGCATGAAGTACCAGGGACCCCAGGCACCCAGGCCAAGCCATACCTGCTGCTGCTGCTGCCACCACTGTCCCCACCGCCACCACCGCCTGTGCTGGTGCTCATCCCGGCCTCACGGCCCACAACTCTGGCGCCCCTGGCAGCTGCTCCTGTGGGGCCCAGCAGTGGCCCGTGCATTTATAGCCTCTGCCGCTGATCTCACCCGCCTTTATAAATAGCCTCCCAGCTGCTCAGCTGTGGGCAAGGTATGCGGTGCGGGGAGGGGGCGGCGCAGCGAAGGCGGCCCTGGAGAGTCCAGCCCCCTGGCAGAGCCCCCCTGCTTCGCCCACACCCCATGGCAGAGGGGGCCACCAAGCCAGGGACTGAGTCCACATACTCCAGCACAAGCTGAGGGAGCCACCTACACGAGAAGGAAGTAATCCAGAGTTCCTGTACTCCAGGACTGACTGTGGGGAGGGTGGGGGAGAGGGTCCCATGGAAAGATGCTGTTCACCAGGTCCTCAGGCTGAGACCTCGCTCCCCCCCCCCCCCCCGAGCTCCAGGGCATTGGAAGCACTTTTAGAACTTTTGGAGCGTTCTCGGACTTCCCACTTAATCCACGTGAGAGCCCTCCTGGAGGTGGTCCTTCCTAATCCCATGGGAACCCCATTCCCTGCCCATTCCCTGCCCACATTCCCATTTTCCTGTGGTTCCCGGACACTTAAGACAGATGGGAGCCCCGTTCTCCCTTGAATGCAGTCATTGGAACCCTCCTGGCTGTGTAGGGAGTCAGAGATGAGAGCTGAGGGCAACTCATTCCTCTCATCAGAGGTGGCAGGCCCCCAGATCTCCGTCACTGTGACTGCATGGCTCTCCTCTAGCTCCAGGGCTGGTTACCTTGCTTTGCTTACTGTCTCCACCAATACTTGCCCAAGTGCCCACCGCGGGCCAGTTCTGCCACATTCACTTCGGGGAACAAACAGCCACAGTTACTGCTCGTGAGCCGCTTGGTGATGGAGGGAATGTGGGTTACATCTCAAGAGACCAGGAGGATTTGGGTTCCCAGAAACATCCAGGGCAGCACAGGGCACAGTTGGGGCACAGGTAGGATGTGCTGGAGACCTCCACATGCTAGCCACACTGCAGCATGTTTGGGAGCTGGGGGACATCAGCTCAGGAGCCCTCCTGAAGTCTATAGCTGCCAGTGAGGGTTCTGGTGAGGCTGGCAAGCACTTTTGGCCGTTGGAAAGCTTACTTTGGCTATTTCTAGAAGGGAATAGAGGGGCAAGAGTAGAGCTGAGAGGCCACTCAGGACTGCTGGGGAAGTCCGAGCTAAGTGGAGGGGGTTTGGCAGTGACAGTACTTATCTCAAGATGGGACATATGACAGGGCTCTGGAAGATCACGCCTGCAACCCTAGCTACTCAGGAGGCAGAGATGAGGAGGATCGCGGTTTGAAGCCAGCTCAAGCAAATAGTTCACATGACCCTATCCCGAAAAAAAACCCATCACAAAAAAGGGGGGCTGGTGGAATGACTCGAGGTGCAGGCCTCAAGTTCAAAGCCCCAGTACCACAAAAAAAAAAAAAAAAAAAGATGGGACATATGTTGTCCAGTGTTTCCTAATAGAGGAAAGCAGGAGGCAAGGCAAAGCCTGGGAGGCCTAATGACCTCTTTCCCCTTGGGTATCATGTCACAGCAGGAGGACAAGGGGCTCCCAGACCAGGAGAGTACCAAGTAGAAATCCTTCCTTCCTTCCTTCGGTACTGGAAATTGAACTCAGGGCCTTGTGCCTGCTAGGCAAGCACTCTATCACTTGAGGCATTACCCACAGTTCCTTTTTTGTTTTAAATTATTTTTCAGTGCTGGAAATCAAACTCAGGGCTCTGCCCATGCTACAGAGTTGACTCTTACAGGGGAAAGCAGGGGCTGGAGATTGGGCTTTTTCTAAAAAGATGTATTTCTATTTTATTCCTAGATGTGATTCTCCAGCAAGCAAATAAATACAGTGGGAGAAGGGAGTATGGATCAACATAAATTAGAAATAAGCTTGGCGGTGATTGGTGGTGGGTACCCTACACCTCCCAGGCTCTGCCAGCCCCTCCTCAGTCACTGGCTTGATCCAGGGGTCATAAGGCACTTGTGGTGCTGAGTTCTGCTTGCTGCTAAGTTGGCTGGCCTCAGGTGCCCACTGTGGTCCAAGCTCACAAGTCAGTCACTTTGTTTTCCACCAGGGCAGCAATCTGCTGCAGGCGACAAGCCAGCTGCATCTTCTGGGCCACAGGGTCCTCCTCCAGGGCACTGATGATCTGCCAGGGCAGCAGAGGGTAACTGCCTGAGGCACCAGTCCTTTGCCCATTGTCCCAGGACCATCCAGCCCTGCCTCTATCTCAGCAGGAGCTTGGAGAGCCAGAAGGGGACTGCTTGAAGCCTCCCCAGGAAGGCCCCAAATAAAAGCCAAGCCCATTCCCCAACTCGAGCCCTTCCAGCACAGGCTGGCACCCTTCCTTCCCTCTGCCTGGAAGAAGGAAGTTCTGTAGGCCTGTCTTGCCTCTACCTCACTCCAGCTGCCTTCCCCGCCTCTCTGGAGTGCCCTGGGCCTTACCTGGTCATAATACCTATGGATATGGTTGTAGAGTTCTTGCAGAGCCTCTAGACAGTGGGGAGCAGAGGTGTAGTTCTAGGAACAGCATGTGGAGGAAGTCAGTGAGGACCATGCCAGGCCTCCCCCACAAGGCTCCCCCCTCTGCCCTGCCAGTTAGCCTCCCCTTAAATGTGGAGGGCTGAACCCCCTGGACCACGCCTCACCCCAGACAGCTCAGTCAGGGTGGAGTTCATCTCCTGGTAGCTCGCAGGAGAGCTCTGGCGAATGTCTGCATAGTATCTGGAGAGGCCAACAGAATTAGGGGTGGGCAGCCCCAGCCCCACCCCAGCCCTGATGGTTCTGACACCTACTTCTCCACCATCTGCTTGTAGCGAGGGATCTCCCGGGCGTAGAGCAGTTTGTTTACCGGGGAATCCTGCTCCAGGTAGGAGAGACATGAGCTGGGAGGTGGGGGAGCCACCAGTGTCCCAACTCATGAGTCCCATGATGCCACCCCTCCGCACACACCACCAGGCTCTGCACAGGGCCCCTGAGTATTCCCCCACGAGCCTTTCCTCTTTATCCCCCTCTGGCGACACTGACTTTGCCCTCACCCGGCCCACTTTGTGTTCCGAGATAGTGCAGGAATCAATGAAGGTCTGCGCAATGACAGCCAGGATGGCGTCCACATTGCCTGGCACCCGCACATCAAAGATGAGCTGTGGATTCTTCAAGGTGTTCACCCAGAACCGCAGCAGCAGGCTGGAAACTCAAGTTGGGTACAGGGATGAGGCTTGACCTGCTATTGTGGTCTTCTCCTCCCATGCACTCCAGCCCAGCCCTCCCACAGCGTGTCTGCTTAGTGGAGCTAGGGACCTTGGTAACTGCGGACTCAAGATTTGTTCTCCACTGGGAGCTGTCCTCTTGCCCAGGTCATCTGGGCCCCAGACCTTCCTATGAGTCCATGCTGCGGGGTATGCAGACACCCAGGGTGGATGCTGCAAAGCCCAGGTTCCTATCTTGAACCTCCTGCCCTGCCCTAGGAATGTCCTGGTCCTGATATTCAATGGATGACCTACACAATGGGACTGGGGCAGGGGCCAATAGAAAAAGGCACCTGTTCGTCTTCCAGATGTGCAGGGTCTCCGGGTCCTCGATACCATGCTTCTCTGCCAGCTCATCCAGGAAGTCAAACAGGTACTTGACGGCGATGGGCACAGGTCGGTTCACACTGAGAATGGCCTGGAAGGTGTCGTCTACAAACTTCTGCAGTGTACCCTGTGAGGCAGGGGATGAGGGCTACCCTTCTGCCTTGCCAGGATCACACTGTTCCCCGGCTCAGTCAGGGCTCCTTGGCAAGCCTTCCCCACAGCTTGATTCCCCTGGCCTCACTGACCTTCATGGAGAGCAGGCGGGTGAGGTAGATTTCTGGAATGGCTTTGGCCCGTGCCCGCTCCCGTTCCCGCTCCCGGAGGCTGCTGCGCCGTGCTTTGGCCCCTTCTGGCTCCTCAGCGGCCTTTACTAGGTGCCAGAAACGCAGACCACCTTCCTCGCCGTCCTCCAGCATGGGGATGTCTGAGGGCACGGAAGCCTGGCCTCAGGCCGAGGCTCTTACCCCCAGTCTGTACCAGTGGCCGGGGATGTGCAGCCCACACTCCCCACAGGGTGAGCAGGGTGGAGAGAGATGGGAGGAGGAGAGTGGTGGCTCAGCCTGACATCCCATGGCACTGAAACAGCCACACCTTAGTTCAGCCTGGAGCTTTGGCTGGTGCATTGGCAAGGTGGGGTGGGCAACCCAGCCTAGGACTCTGGTGAATCTAGCCCAGGGCTGACCCCAACCCTGCTAGTCCTCCCTGCAGCCAGATGTGGCTGGACCGAGGGACTCACTTTCTCCAGATGGGCAGCTCTGGGCCACGCTCTGGGAGACAACGCCACCATTGTTTAGCTGAGGGATGAGCCCTACAGTTGCTCCATCTGGGACCTGGGAGGAAATAGGGGAGCAGAGTCTGGGTCTTTCACTGGCTGATCCCCGGCACAGCCCCTGCTCCACATTCACTCTGCCCTGTTGCCGCGCATCTGGCACCTTGTAGTGCTGCAGGGTGTTGAGTCTCTTCCAGTGGTTTTGAATCACTGAGGTCAAGTCCTCATCTGATAAGGTTAGATGACCAGCCAGGCCTGAGCGCCACTCTGGGGGTGGGAGGGAACCCAGGGAAGCCCATTGGCACACAGTCTGTTCCCCAAGTTCCCCATAAATAGCAAGGTAGAGCTAAGTGGCTGCAGGTAGGGGAAGGGAGGTGAGTAGGCAGATGATTGGGTTGGCTCGCTCACCAAGGTCTAGGGCGTGCACTGAGGGCCTCTGGGAGAAGGGGGTGCCCTTGCAGACTTGGTCCAACACCTTCTCCTTGACCTGGGTGATGGTGTCCGTGTCCAGCACTCGGGCTGGCACTCGCTGTACCTCACTGCTCCCTGCTAGCCCTCCAGTTCCAGGGCCCACCAGCACCATCAGTGTTAGGGGTCTGAACTCCACATCCTCCCGCAGCAGGTGGCTATCATTCAGGGTCCGTTTTGCCTTGCCTGTCACAGCATCCACAGGGCCCTTATCCACCTGGTACTTGATGGCTCGGAAAAGCATGTACAGTGGTTCACCAGCCACTTCCTGCAAACATCAAGATGGGCCAGCATTGACCATGAGGCCAGTGGGCCCAGCAAGTCCCAGCAGAGGACATGGTTGGAGTGGCAGGAACAGTCAGCAGCCTACAGCAAGGATGGACAAAGCACAGCCAGCTCACGTAGGCCCCTGGACTGGGACTTTGAGCCCTTCTTGCCTCTGCCTCACATTTAGCCAGAGTAAGGGTTAGAAATTTCCCCTCTCCAGCACTCCCTTCTGCCCATCCTCACAGTGGGTCTGTTGAGCAGGGAGAAGGATCTCATGACTCTCATTGGGCCCCCAGGGGGAATTTGAGCTCAGGCCAGAGAGGCCACAGGTAGGCAGTGGTCCCCCAAGTGCTGGGAGGGAAAGAAGGTGCCATCCGGTGTAGAGGACAGGCTGGACAATGCCCCTCACCTTCAGGAAGGCATAGAGACAGATGGACAGCCAGTTGGTAAGCAGCTTCTCCACCATGGTCTCTGTCCTGTGGAGAGGAGGCCCCAGGTCCCTGGTGAGGATTCTCCTCAACTCCCCTTCGAACCCTGTTCGTGGGGCTCCTGGCCCCATCACCCCAGGGGCAGAGCCCAGCCAGGATGCCGTGGGGACAGGTCAGTGGTGAGCCCCTGCCCCTGCCTTCACACCCAGGTCAAGGCCAACCTGCGCAGCATGAGCTTGGGGTTCTTGTGTACATAATGGGCTGCCAGGTCACCAAGCAGAGTCCTCATGATGTCAGTCAAGTATTCAAGCTTGCTGTGCAGCGCCAGGGACAGCAGTGAAGCCACATGGCAGCGGTCCCTCTGTGAGAAGGTGGGTTGCTCCTCCAGAGTGTGGATGAGCTAGGCAGGGAGCTGGTGTTTACTCCAGGAAGCCCCATATAGTCCCCCACTTCTGTGATCATGCTTCTTGCCCAACCTGGCCCGTCTCCAGCCCTACCTCCCTGCCAGTTGAGGCCCCCTGTCCCGCCTGTCCCCAAGTGTCCATGTGACTCTCACTGTGAGGAGGAAGAGCTTGCTGTTGAGCAGATTGGAGAGCTGTGTGAGGCCCTGGCACACAGTGGCACGACGGCCCTCTTCCCCGGGCCCCTCAAGCTCGGGCTGCAGAGGGCAGCCACCATGGCCAGGGAAGAAGGCACGCTCAGCGTATGTGTGATAGTCCAGGAAGGGGATCCCACTGGCCTCCAGGTCACTGCTGAGGTCCGTCATCTCAGTCATCAGGTCTGCAGGCCAGGAGCCACCAAGATGTGGGCTCAGGCCTGTAGGCCCTCCACGCTCTCACCCCTGCCTGTCCCCATGCACCACACCTGTGAACTCCTTGCGGCACTGGTCGCCCACACCAATCTCCAGGTTCTCCAGCTGCACCAACACCTTCTGGTAATCCCGCAAGGCCTGCTTGCTCTTGTGCCTATAACCGGAGGTCAGGTGTCAGCCACAGGCCCAGACCAGAAGAGCCACCTGCCTGGGCCCTGCCATGGGCCACCGTTGCTAGTGGTGAAGAGGGATGTTTATTCAGGTGTGCCAAGGGGGAAAAGACCTCACCTGTACATGAGGGTGAGGAGAAGCACGGCAGCGATCAGCACGGCAGCACCCATGCCTAGGCCCACCTGGGCCTCCACGGGGAAGGCAGACATCGTGGGCTCTGCCTCGTACTGGACAGGGCCCAGGGCCAAGCGCACGTTGCCCATCTGCACCTGGGGTAGGATGGGGCAGGGGTCCTGAGCGCAGGCCTGCAGCGCTCAGCCTGGTCCACCGGGGCGCACACTTACCACGAACTGCAGCAGAGCACTGGAGCCATTGGTGGGCTGAGGGGCTCGTGGAGGTGGTTCGCAGTACAGGTGGGTGAGTGTGAGCGTCTTCACCAGGCACTCTCCGTCACCGATGTGCACTCGCACCTCCTCCTTGCTGATTCCCAGGTTGAGGCCCTCACCCTGGGACACACACCGGGAGCCTGAGCCTGCCGACCCCGCACAGGCGGTAGGAGTACCTGGCAGTGCCTGGTCACAGCGGGCTTACCTCCACATCTAGGACGTGGCCTGGCTTAAGGCGGTAGGGGTGGGAGAGCCCTTCGCGACTGAGTGGGGCCAGGCGTGGGTTGGGTTGGTACAAGAAGCCTTGGCCCCCACTGGCGCTGCTGAAGTCCACATGCACGTTGTCCAGGGCAAAGAACACCCGTTTTGGATGGGTTCCATCTGGTACTGCAGGGCTGCGGCACAAGAGGAGGCTGGACGAGTTGATGGAGCAGACCGTGGAGCACTGTGAGGGGGGGGGGACAGTCAGGGCCAAGGATGCAGGCCAGTGAGCTGGGACTCCCCTGCTCACTCTCAAGGCCTTGGTGGTCAGCCCTGCCTCCCTCACTAGGTATGCCCTGGGCACAACCCTGTCACCTGTTGGTGTGTGTGGGGCTCACCTGTAGCAAGCCCCTTTCAAGCTGGATACAAGTCTGGGGGTCCACAGTAGTGGCACTGCAGCTCCTTCTTGGGTTCAAGTCCTGGTACTGGGCCCCTAAAGCTTTCACCTCTGCCTCAGCCTCCAGCCACACAGACAGAAGGGGCTGCCACACCACATCCAGGCCTGTACCCCTGACACGGATCAGCCTCCCACCCCTGTGCCAGGATGGAAGTCAGATGGGTGCTGGGCAGCCCCGTCCAGCCCCAACTCCCCATCTTCCTTCTGGCTCAGTGCAAAGGCTACCCTGTGGGCTGTCCAGGCTTCTCACCCCCGGAAGCTGACACTGGGCTCTGCTGCCACAAGCTGGGGATTGGCAGTGTAGCGAAAGGGACTGGTGAGCAGTCTGCGCTCGGCATGGCCAAAGACCACAAGGACCACTGCTTCTCCTGGCACTGCTTGGGGCATGGTGCGGCACACAATGGCCTCAGGACACACCGGCTCCTGGCTGCAGGGTGGAGCAGATTTCTCATCTTGGGCTCTCACTACTGCCTTTCAGCCCAGTCCCCTATGAGAGGTCTCTTTGCCTCCCTCAATGGGGGAAGACAGAGATCACTGGAGGTCGGCATAATAGCACTTCTCTTGAAATTTGATAAAAGCCTTCAATCTACGGCCTCCCCTGTATCAAAGAAGACACTAAAGGCTGCAGGGAGTGTCCTACTTGACAGCAGCCAGGTGTGCTGGAGGCTGCCCACCTGATGGGAGGCGGAAGTGGATACTCACATGGGACAGGGTTGGTCACCCACAAAGGCACTGATGTTGCCTCCTGTCTGGAGGTGCTGCCCATGGATGGTGAGCTGGGTGCCCCCTGCCTGGGGGCCCCACTGAGGACTCAGGCTCAGCAGGATGGGGTCCTGGAGAACAGGGCAGGCTGGGGTAGGCATGGCAGCCTGGCCTTGTGCTTTCCCGGGGCCCACGCCCAGGGTCTTAGAGCTTTGGGGCGTGGGCCCACCTCTCAGTTTCTCAAGGGTCAGGACCCTTCTTCCAGAAACACCATGCCCTGCTTCTGCAGCTCTGCATTGGCCAGCTCTCCTCCCATTTGCCACAGCCCTTCAGGGAGGGCTCTTCTCTCCTCACTACCATTTATCACCCGTGGGACAGCCTGCATCCCCTTACCCCAGGTTCTAAACACCAAGATCCACCTGCCTTCTTAGGGTGCTGCAGGTGCCAAGCAGAACTCCTGGTCCTAACCCACTCCTTCCTGCTACTGCCCCCACCCTGGGCTTCCCACTCCAGAAAAGGCCATGTGCTCAAGGACTCAGGTTAGCATCTGGAGGCGTCCCCACTCTCCCGTCCCCCGTTCCTAAGGCAGCTAGGCTTGCAACAAGTCCTGACAGCTCTGTGCCCACGCTGGCCTGGCTGCCTGCCGTGCTCACTGCTTCCGCTGCCCACCTCTCTCCTGGACAGCTGCCACTGGCGGTGTCCTTGCCGTCCCACTACTGCCCCCCGCTGCTATTCACTGAGGCCATGTGGCTTACCTCTTGGATGTACGACGGCACTTCCTGCTACCCTTGGATCCAGTTTGCCATCCTCACCCAAGTGTCCACCCCTCCTCGCTCTCTTTTCCACCATCCCCTGCATTAGGACTGCCCTGGGGTAGGCACTGACCTGGTAGGTGAAGTGCTGGGTTGAGATGCCAGGTGGCCGACTCTTAATGGCCACTTGGACTGGCCCAGCCATGCCATTGGGGGCAGGAGATGTTACACACACAATCCTGAGGAGCCAAGATCCAGTAGCTGCTCAGGGCCATGGGGGAGCCTTGGCAGCCTGCCAGCTGCTGCCTAGAGCCCACTCCCTCTCACCCTCCCCCTGCTTGTTTTCTTGGCTGCAAGCCTCCCTTCTCTATGGGTGGCCACTTTCAAAGGGCCTACCAGAGACAGCACCCCCATCCACCCTTGCCTGCCCAGCCAGGCGCCTCACCGGGCAGAAGTGCGGTAGAGAGAGGGGTCGGGGCTGCAGGGCTGGCCAGCCACGCTCACAGCATCTTGGATATCCGCAAAGGCCCTGCCCAGGTTGGAGCCTAGGATGGTGAGGGCCAAGCCACCTTCTGGGGGACCGGTCAGGGGTTCAATCTGTAACAGGGAAGGATGGCAGATGGGCTCCCCAAACCCACATCCCACTCTGCAGTAGGGGTTCCCAACCAGCCAGCTGGACTATGACTGGACCAAGCTGCTAGGGAGTGGAGGCCTGAGGCAATGGTGGCCTGATGCGGAAGAGGTGTAGGACAGTGGTGAACTGGGGAGGAAGTGGGCCATGGGGGAGAGATGGGGGACCTAGGGCCTGTATTCAGCCCTGCAGGTGAGGGGGTGCTCACCGAATCAATTCTGGGTGTGGGACACAGCTGCTCCACAGCCCCTGGTGGGCATAGTGGTCCATAGCGACAGGCAGGCTGGCCGTCACTGCACCACAGGCAGCTCAGGCTCTCATTGGCTGCCTGGCAGTGACTGCAGTCAGGGTGGCCCACAGCACAGTCATACAGGGTCACTAGGGAAGGTCAGGCAGAATGCTGAGGCACTGCCCCTGCACCGCCCACCCTAGCCCCTGCCTGCCTTGCTGCCCCTGGGCTCACCGTGAAGAGTGCGGGCGTTGTCCAGTCGTTGGACCTCACCCCGGGTGACGTAGATGGGTACTAGGAGCTCCCGCTGGGACATAGAGGCGTGGAACTGTGGGCAGAGGGCAGGATCAGGCTTGACCCCCACTCGGGGCACCTCTGCCTCCTGCCTTCTCCAGGTCTCTCCCCTCCACCCCAGAATGGGTGTGATTGCTTCCTACACCTCTGAGCCAGACTAGTCCTGCTCAGGGACAGAGGCTGCAGACACCACATTCCTGACATGGGCCCCAGAGCCTGGGCAGAGTAGAATGAAGAAGGACTGGGAGAAGCTGTGGTTGAGAAGGCTGGAGATGGCACCCAGTAGCAGGTGAGGCTGACAGGCAGCCTCCCACCTGCTGGGCCTGGCAGTGAATGAGGCCTGCACCCCCAGTTGTCTCTTCCAGGGAAGCTGGTAGCCTCTGAAGTTCTCCAGGTAGCTCCAGCCAGCAATAGTAGGAGGCAGGCAAGCCCTGGGAGGTGGGCACAATGTCAGTCCCCTGGACACTGTCACCACGCCCACCATCATCTCCAGCCCCTGCCTGCTTGACTACTCACTCGGAAATATTGAAGGTTCTGAACACGCAGAGCCAAATGGCTCTCCCAGCCCACAGGCACCAAGTGGGGACCTGCCAGGCCCTCAACCTGGGGACAAGCTTCCGGACCACGCACCTGGACATCCACCTGGGGAAATGAGAGCCTTACTCCTTCAGAACTCCAGGGGCTCGCTCCTGCCTCTGTCCTGTGGGATTGACCATGGGGGGCAGAGCAGGTGACGGAGTCCTGCAGTTGAGTACACCCACCTCCTGGGCACTGTAGACTGTCCTCTCACCCTCTGGACAGTGCTCTCCGTATACGCAGCGGCTACTCTGGGGGCACCAGTGGCACCGCCAAAGGCTGCTTACACAGGTGCGGCACCTGTCAGGGCAGAGGTCAGCTCAGGATGGGGCTGTCTGGGATTGCCACCCCTACGCAGCAGGAACCAGGCCCAGGAACTCACGGAGCGGCCATCTGCAAGGCCTGGGCCGAGCTGCAGTCATAGAAGGAGAAGTTGGTGGCAGCTACAGACACATCCTCAAACATGAGGGCCAGGGGCAAGGTGACATGGTCTGTGAGGACACAGTGGTGGCAAAGCAGATCCTGTGACTCCTGGCCACCCCAGTTCTAGCCCTGGACCCCTACCCAGGGGATCCCCCTCACCTGTGCCTGGAGGGTTAAGTGGCACCTGGTCTTGGGGAGGGGTTACACAGGCCACATGGGGCCCTTCCACATGAGCCAAACTGTCATAGTCCCCAAAGGCGCAATGGAAGTACTCATCTACAGCCAAGGTGGGCAGTCGGGGGACAGACAAGGTGACCTGGGACACAAGAGAAGGAAACAGGGAGATGCAGAGTGGGGAGGTAAGAGCCATGCTGGGGTGTGAACAGAGACAGTGGTGGAAGAGCCGGACAAGAGGCAGTCAGGGGGTCAACCTCCCACAGGCAGTGGCTACACTGCCTTGGAGGACCAGCAGTGTTGGGCGCCTTACCTGGCCCTGCTCCTGGCGGGGGTGGTGGGCTGGCAGCAGGCTCTGGATGTGGAGACAGTGGCTGTCCTCCTCATAGCTCCACAGCCAATGGTTTGGCTGGGCTGCCCGCAGGCACTGGCCTTTTCGGGTACACCTGGCAGGCAGGGGCCTATTGGGTCACTGTGTAGGTCTCAGGCTTCCTGGGTGACTGGTAGCAGGGGGATTGGGAGGATAACCTGGCTGGAGCGTAGTAAGCAGGGAGAGTGAAGGGAACTGTGTTGAGGGGAATGGGCCAAGCACATAGGGCCTCGCGGTCAAGGTATAGGCTTTGCCCTTGACTGAGTGAGTGGGAGCCACTTTGGGGTTACCATTAGGGATTCCTGGGCTGCTGCATGAAGCCCCAGCTGGAGGGGAGTTGGAGTGGGTCAAGGGACACCAGCAACTGGGCAAGAGTCCTGAGAGAGATGACAGAGACCTAGACCTGAGGTGAGGTGGGGCTGCTGGAAATGAGAAGTGAACAGGTTGGGCAATGTCAGGCGGTGGGTACTGCCCAGACTCTTAGTTGGTGGGCTGGAGCAGGACTGAGGAGCTCAGAGATGGCCTGAGTCTCTACTTCAGTGGGCAGGGCTGGCCTCTTGGCACACCTAGAGCTGGTTACCTCAGGGTCCACACCACCTGCTGATTCATGGTAGGGCTTAGACCTCACGCTCACCTGCCCTGAAGGACACACCAGCCACACAGTGGGTCCTGGGCCTGGAGGCAGCTGGTACAGTCCGGGAACTGGGGGCAGGCAGCCACAGGTACCCGGTCCAACTGTATGGGCAGCAAGGGAGAGATGAAGTGGTTGCAGACACTCAGGTCATGTGGACCCGGCCCCCCAATGCCTGGGACAGCACTCACCTGTTGGGCAGTCAGGACATAGAGGTGCCTACCACTGCTGTCCACCAGCAGGTCTGGACTGATGGCTGAGCCTGGAGGCCCCACTTGCTGGGAGTGGTACACCTGGCCTTGGGAACCATTGAGAAAGACCTGGGCAGGGGCACAAGGATAGGGCTGAGCCATCTTGCAAAGCCAAGGCCAGCTCTACAATTGGCCAAAAGCTGACCATTCAGGACCTGTGCTGTCTTCCTGACAGGGGCTCCTTTTCAGGAGCATAAGGACTCTCAGGGAGTACCCTGTTCCCCAGAGCCAGCTCCCCTTCCTGCTAGGCCATCAAGGGAGAGTTGTGCCACTTCCTCAGTTCAGCACCCTCAGGGCTTGGGGCACTCTCCAGAAAGCCACAGCCCTGGGGCAGCAGGGTCACACTGGATGAGGCCCTTGGATGCCAGGGCCACTCTGCCATGCAGGAGAGCAGCTACAAAGAGACAAGCAGGTCACCAGGCAGAAAGACTTCTGGGGCCAGACTGGCTCTGAGCACCGGGCCTCTCTGTCCTGCCTGTCCATCATCCTTTACCATTGGCTCTCATTGGTCAGAGAAGGCAGTCACCCATCTCAGAGCCAGAGCAGAATGTGGCCCTGCCAGACGTTAAGGTGTGCCAGTGCTCTCTGACCCACCAGCAGGACACAAGCTGAGAGGTAGTGTCCTAGGGGCTTTCCTGAGCCACTGGTGCTAAGGGCACCTGAGCAGACAGAAAGATGAGCCCAGCCTGACAGTGTGGAGGCCACTCTGAGCCACTCCCCATTGGTCAGGCTCTCACCTTATATAGCTGGCCCTGGGTGTCCCCCAGAAAGGCTATTGTGTGCCCATCTGCCTGGAGGGCTGCCACAGCGCTGATGGGCTGCTCAAGCTGCAGCAGAGGCTGGGCCTCCACAGACTGGCGGCCAGAAATGGGGCTGGGGGTGTGCTCGTCACCACAGGGGTATGACTCTGGGGAGTCCTAGATGGGCAAGAAGTGGAGAATCAGCTTCCAGGAGAGGCAGGAGGTCCCTCCCTTGTGCCTAGAGCCAGTTAGCAGAGGCAGCCAGTGCAAGGGAGCTGGGAGAAACCTGGGGGCAGAGCAATCTGGGTTAAGGGGCCAGAAAGCTGGGTCCTTGAGCCGCATAGCATGACAAGCTTGCCTCACAGAGGGAGACAGATGGGAATAAACAGGCTGAGAGCAGGTAAGAGACAGAGTCAGAGCCAGCCCCCCATTGACATCCCATAGCCAAACAGTGCACCCCTGAGCCATGCCATGGAGGGGGAGGGCTGAAGAGGTAGGGCAAGCAAGAGAAGAAAGGGAAGGCAGGAGCTCTGGTCAGAATCTGGAAGTCGGGCCCTTGCCACTCACAGGGGGCAGGGTAACACAACGCGACGTGACGCCATATTCCACAGTGGCTTCCTCCATACCGCTAGGGCCCCGACCTCCAGTTGTATAGCAAAGTCGCCGGGCCTGCTCCATGCTCCTGTCCAGTTTGGCCAGGGGAAAGGCGCACAGGGCCCCTTGTCCCCCACTTGGGCCTGCGGCAAATGCCCCTAGCAAGGTGCCTGGGGCAAGGAAGGCAGCCTGGATGAGGCCCTGGCCCTGGCAGGCAAAGGGCACTTCCACATAGGAGTAAAGATTGGCGTCCCCTAGGCAGACACGGGCCACATAGGAGCGGTACTCAGCCTGGGTCCGGGCCCCTCGGCGGCGGAAGATGAAGTAGGCAGAGTGGGTATCAGCAAAGGCCCCCACATAGCTGTTGTTGTAGTCTGAGAAGTCGCCCACCACTAGGCGGCCCAGGCCCTCACTGGAGAAGGGCTGTAGCCCAGCCAGCTGGCGTACGGTTAGGGGTGGCACTCCTGCCGACAGCTTGCCTGCCAGGCCTCTGGCCACCAGCAGGAGGTCCCGGCCTGGTAAGGGCACCACTAGACCCACAGTGGTCACTCCTGGGGTGTTGGCGGCCACAAACTGCCCATCACCAGGGTCTTCGGCCTGGTATAACACCTCAGCCACATCCCCAAGGCGCCGTTTCTCACAGACACCCTGCCTTACCTGCCCGCAAGCCACAAGCTCCTGGGCCCTGCTGCTCACCAGCAGGAGCTGATTGGCATTATCAGTGAGCCGGGCCTGAGGACATTCAGCTGGGTCACGGAAAGGCACGCAGTCGGGACTGTCGACGACAGGGCCAGTAACAGCCACAGCCTCGATCTGTAGCTCAGGGCTGAGCTGGAAGACGTGGTTCACTGCGCCCACATAGAGTGTGCCCCGGCCTGGTGCCAGCGCCAGGTGGTTGAAGGTTGTATTGGGTGCAGAGAAGCGATGGGCTCCAGTGAAGGGCAGTAGCAGCAGCAGTAGGAGGTGGAGGCTGAAGGGAGGCCAGGGAGCCATCACAGGGACCTGGGAGAGAGCCCTTAGCGTGAGGCCTGTGGCCCCACTCCCCAATAACACAAGTCAGGGTAGAGGGGCAGAAAGGGGCTAAGGCAGAGAGAGAGTGGGAACCAAACCAGGGCAGAGATGGGACCAGAAGAAGGCCGTGCCGAGACTCAAGAAGAGAGGGGTTCACAGCCAGGAGGGAGGAGGGAAGAGAAACAAAGACAGGGATAGAGAGCAGGCAGAGAGAAAGGGACAGAGAGGGCACAGAGAGAGGCAGCCAGAGAGAACAGAAAAAAGGATAAAGAAAGTGTCCAAGAGCTGGAGAGAGAGACGGGGTGGAGAGAAGGGCACGCGCGTGCCCACGTTCATGGGCACACATAAGCATTCTTTCATATTCTGTTGTATATGCATCTGGACTAGAATAGGGGCAGATCCTGAAAACCACGAGAGCACGAGCAGAGAGACTCTGAGTGACAGGGGCAGGAGAGGGAAGGGAGATGGGAATAGGAAGGCCAGTGGAAGCCACATCCACAAGATGCCCCTGTAACTGGCCACCCAGACAAGAGAGACAACATGGGGACAAGAGGAGCAAGTCAACAAATGGCAAGGCAGGATACCCATGGCAAAAGGGACAGGGAGAGAAAACACAGGCTGGGCAGCCAGGGCCAGCTGCACAGAGAGACCCTCACCAGCTGGTCAAGATGCAGCCAGACACAGCCATACCTGCCCCTCAAGACAGCAGTGAACAGGTGGCCAGGGCCATGCCACAGAGGGCCTCAGAACACCTGGGGGTGGCCAGGGGTGAAGGGAGGGTTGTGAATCAGCCAGCAGAGAGATACCAGAGTGCCAAGAGGCAACACAGGATGCAAGGGTGGTGGGAGGCCTGCCCCTGCCCGATGGACCCCAACAGTCAACAGTCTGCTGGAGAGTCCTCATTGTGGGAGTTTTGATCTGAGAAGGGCCAGAAAGGCAGTTTGACTGAAGAGGAAGGAGAGGGATGGAGGGGAGCCCAGCAAGGTAACCCCATGTCTGCAGAGGACCCTTAACCTGAACCTCCAAGAGCAAGGGAGGGGCCCTAAGCCTTCAGAGGAGGGGCACTGAGGGCAGCTTCTGCTGTGCCCTCCCCCCGCCCCCCTCTGAACCATCAGCAGCAGTCACTGCCCAGCAGCCCCCAGCAGAACAGCCCCAGCTGGTGACACCCAGACAGACGAGACCCTGGGCAGAGCCCTAGGAAGGGAACAGGAGCTGGTGGCAGGCCCAGAATTGAGCTGGGGTCTGCATGACTGGGCATGTGCCAGTCAGTTGCTACCCACTGCCACTCAGGAAGGCCCCAGAGCCCCTTATCTCAAGAACACAGACAGGAAAGGGCACAGGCATTTCTTCTGGACCCTGAGTATATCGTGGCAATGCCTGGTGTGTATGGTGAGGCTGATGGGGCTGCCACCCAGGGAACCCAGGACACCAAAGCCCCATTCCAAGGCTGACCTGCATGCTGGATCCTGCCCTAGGCTATTGTACCCCACCCTGCCCCTCTCAGGGACATCTTTGGGAATGTAGGGCCCAGGCACTTACCGCCACTAAGGAATTCAGCAGTGGTGTCTCCTGGGCAGTGTGGTATGTCTCCTCAGATCAGCTGCCCCAGGGCAGTGGTGAGGGGCACAAGATGGCTGTGGGAGCATTGTCCTGAGTGGGAGGGAGACAGTCGAGGCTCAGGCCCATTCATGCTGGCCTTGGGGGAGGAAGGAGGAGGGGGAGGAGGGGGCAAGGGCCTGGCGACCGGGCTCCACCACAGCTGGCAGCTTTGTCAATAGTGGCCCGGCCAAGGCAGCCCTGCCTCCACCCCAACAATGTCCCCTCTGTCCGGAGGCCCAGGCCATGGACCCACTATCTGGTGCTCTTACCCCCATCTGAGTGGGCTGTTCTGGCCAGGGAGCTCCCTGCCACTCCCCGCCTCCAGGGAGACACCCCCTGGGATCTGGGGACAAAGGGACAGGGTTTCCTATCTAGCCCACAGCTCCTCTGCCAGCTCAGGGTGCCCCTCCCTAAGTTCTCCCGGGCCGGGTCCCTGTGAAGGGCACGGGGTGGACCTCAGAGCCTCCACTGTAGAGCCAGAGGCACGGAGTTCCTGCATGCCAGCCTCGGCCTTGGTAGCCTTGGTGCCCGGCTGAAGTGCCAGTCCTGGTCCTCAATGCCTGCCTTTGTCCAGGCTGGGGGCAGAGGAGGCACTGACAAAGGCAGCCCGTGCAGAGGACCTTCTCCCCCACCCCCTGGCCTGGAATAAGACTGTCTTCACCCAGCCCCGCCCCTGGAGACTGGTAAAAGTCGTGCCAGGTACAGCATGGTAGTGGGGAAAGCCAACGGAGGATGCTGTATGGGCAAAGAGGACCCATGAGGGACTCAGCCACCAGAATCAAACCCTTAACTTCAGACATGAATGCAGCTGGTTGCCTGCTCCCCCCACCTACTACCGCCCCCCTCCCCGCCCGGGAGAGACCCTCCCTGGATCTCCTCCGTGCATAGGGGAGGAAGGAAGTGGCAGCAAGCAGCCACTCCCTGCCACCGTCATAGGGCATCCTGGGGTCACTGCACTCAAGGCCATGTTGCAGTGGCACTCTGGCTGGGGTCCCTGCCTCCTCCACGGTGTGCAGCAGCAGTGGGCTCCAGGGCAAGGCAGGCGGCAGGTGACTGCGGCCACCTGGCTGAGCCGGTTGGGTGGCTGTGGGGGAGGGGAGCCAGGCAGGCAGCCTCCTTACCCTGCACTGTGTTCCCAGCTAGTGCCAGCTCTCTCATTTGGGGTCGGAAGCCCTGGTTCTTCACTTTCTAGCACCAGTGCCACCCTGCTGGAGGACACCATGCCCCCCAGGCATCAGAAGGTGCCATTGTAGCTCTGGGTTTATGCCCAGTGGCCTTTGCCTGACTCCAGCTGGTTGGCCCTACAGATTTTGGCTTCTCCCTGGCCTTAGCAGCCCCAAGGCAGCATCCCTCAGCCCAGTGGCTCCTGCATCCAGTGCCCAAACCAGCCCCACCTCCTGCTTACCTGGGTGGGCCACCTGCGGGCCCGAGGAGCAGCTGACTGTGTCAGGAGTGAGCCCCAGCTTCCCTCCCCACAATGCAATCGTGCCCAGCCCTACGCATGCAGCCCAGCGGGGCCGGGCCTGGCAGCCCAGCCCCTTGCGGCCCGCCCCTTTCCCCTAGGCACAGGGCAGGAGGCTGCTGCCCTTTGCTGGCCTGGGCGGGTGCTGCAGAGGGCTGGCTACAGGGACCTGACTGGAGCAGGTGAGAACGTGTGGGCATTCCCTAACCTTCCACAGAGTGCCCATCGGCTCCATTCGGAGATAAAGCATTCTATGGACATTAACATATTGTCCACATGTTAATTGACCCAGCAGGTGGGGGAACTGGGTAGGGAAAGGAGGGGCATGGGAGTTTAGGAAACTTGCACAGAATTCCACAGCTAGTAAGTAACAAGGCTAAGAGTCCCTACACTTATCCATCTAGCCACATGACCTTGAACCATGAACCTTGGCAGGCATAGGGCAGGAGGGGAGATGGGTGACAAGCCCCTGTGGCATTGAGGAAACCACTGCTATTTGCATAACATTGGTGGAGGGTGGGTTGCAAGAATGCAGAGGTCAGCAAATCAGAACCTGGGCTTGCCTTTCCATGGCCTTCCTTTCCATGACCTTGAATGCAGCTTTGCATTTGGGCAAGTGCAAGCTGGTGGTCCTGGGGAGGAGAAGGTGGGTAAGCCTGGACCAGGGGTGGGTGAGGGCATGGATGGAGCGCACTGCAGATACGCTTAGCAGGGTAGATCCTGAAAACTTGGTGTTGGAAGGGGTGCAGGAGGTGAAGGCAGGAGAATGCAGGAATCCTCAAGCCTGGGTCTTATCTGCTGGGGCTCTGTCTCTACCTGTAGGGTCACCAGTGAAGGGGAGGGTAGGTCTGTGCATGCAGGGTCACCAGTGGAGGGGGCCGGTGGGAAGGAGAAAAAAAGTTAGGCAGAGGAGCCCACAGGCAGAAGGAAACAGCCAATGGAACCTGTCTTAGGGTGGCCTGAGTGCTGGGGGTGGGTTATGGTTCTGGGCCATACTGTGGCTTGAACTCAGGGCCTCATGCTACCACTTAAGCCAATCCGACAGCTCTTTTTTGTGTTGGGTATTTCCGAGATAGGGTCTCGAGAACTATTTACCCAGGCCGGCTGAGAACCATGATACTTCTGATCTCTGCCCTCTGAGTAGCTGGGATTACAGATGTCAGCCACTGGTGCTTGGCACTTCTTTTTTCAAATGCCACTATGTATGCTTTGCCACTTTTTTTTTTGCGGTACTGGAGTTTGAAATCAGGGCCTACATCTTGAGCCACTCCAAGAGCTCTTTTTTGTGAATATTTTTTTGAGATAGCCCGGGTTCCAAGCCCGGGCTGGCTTGGAACCGTGATCCTCATGATCTCTGCCTACCAAGTAACTAGGATTACAGGTGTGAGACACTGGCACCTGGCTTCTTCCTTTTTTTAATTTTTTTTTTTTTTGGCGGTACTGGGGTTTGAATTTAGGGCCTCACACTTGCAAGGCATACACTCTACCACTCTGCCAGTCTTTCTTTCCTTTTTAAAACTGAATAATCTTCCAAAATGTACCACATTTTGTTCATCCGTTCATCTGTCAATGGACACTTGGGAGGCTTCCACCTTTTGGCTTCTGTGAATAGTGGTGCCATGATCAGTGGTGCACAAATATGTTTGTTTTCAATTATTTTGGATCTATGACCAGGAATGAGATTATTGGATTATATACTAGTTCTAGTTTGAATTTCTTTCTTTCTTTTTGGTGATACTGGGGTTTGAACTCGGGGCCTCACACTTGCTAGGCAGGTACTCTACACTTGAGCCACTCCATCAACCCTTTTTGTGTTGTGTATTTTTGAGATGGGGGTAGAACCTCAATCCTTGTGATCTCTGCCTCCCGAGTAGCTAGGATTATAGACGTGTGCCACAGGCACCTGGCTAGGAAAGATGTTTAATTTCCACTTATTTGTGAAATTTCTAATTTTCCTCCTGTCATTGATTGCTAATTGTGGTCGGGAAAGATGTTTGCTATGATTTTAATTGTTTAAAAGACTTGTTTTAAGGCTGGCAGAGTGGCTCAAGTGGTAAAGCACCTGCCTAGCAAGCATGAGGCCGAGTTCAAACCCCAGCACCACTACCAAAAAAACAAAAAAAAAAAACAACAAACAAACTAAAAAACAAACTTGCTTTGTGGCCTCCCATATGTCCTGTGTGTGTTGAGAAGAATGCATTCTCATGCTATTGGATCCAGTGCTCTGGAGTTGTTAGGTCCATTCATCTGTAGTGTTGTTCAAGTCATGCAGTATTTTTTGTTTTTGTTTTTTTTTTGCAGTGTTTGGAACCCAGGCATTTCTGCATGCTGAGCAAGCATTCTACCACTGAGCCACACCCCTGGTGCCTCATGCAACAATTTTTAAAAACTTCACATAAATGGAACTATACTAGATATTTTTCTGTAACTTGCTGTTTTGTACTTGCCAGGCATCCAAGTTGATGCACAGAACCTATTTATTCATTTTTGTTGCTGTATAGTGTTTCATTTAATGACTCCAGCAGACTGGATTTCTTATTGTGTTAATGGACATTTGAGTTGCCTCCGGCTTTTGCCTATTAGAAAGAAAGCTGCCCCGGAGTGATTTTGAAGGGTAATCTAGGGTCTCTATCACCTTTTCTCTGGGTGGTGCCTAGAGGTGAACTTGCTAGTTGTAAATGTGCACAACTGCCCTCTACTAGATGTTGTTTTCGACAGTGCTTGTCCCAGTGTTCACCCTCTCCTCTGCAACACGAGTTCTTGCTGCTCCACATCACTGCCAACAATTGGTATCGGTAGGTTTTCTAATTTCTGCCAATCAGTGGATGTAAAAAGTGCTTCACTGTGGCTTGATTTGCATTTCCACAGACAATCTGCTGTTCCCCCGGTGTGCTGCACAAGGGGAGGCAGAGCCGTGCACATCTAACTGCCTCTTCTATGGACTTTCAGTCCATCCTCTTGTTCCACGTGCTTCACACACACATACACACACACATGCATGTTTTTTTCTGAGACACCTGGTGCCTCCAAGTCTTGTGCACACCCACCTCCCCAGCTGGCTGCCTTTCACCATTTTTCCCTTGTTAGAAAATGTATTCTGAATGGCCATGCAATTTTTCCTAGTATACATTTGAGCAAAAGAACACAATTTGGATAAATAATAATAATGATGATAATTTTTTGCAGTTTTGAGCATGGAACCCAGGGCCTCATGTATGCTGGGCCAGTCCTTTCCCACCGATCTATACCCTCAGTCCCCCAAAAATAATTATTAATAGGAAAATCAATTTTCATTGGACATGATTCCTTCCTGAAATGTAAAGAAGGTGATGGTGTTAGCTGGATTCAAAGCAGGCCAGTATTTCCACTGGCTTCTTCCTTGATGCCTCAGTGCCCTTCTCTTTCAATAGAGGTCAGGGTTTTCTTGAAAGCAGAAGTGGCAAAGGCGATGTGCGCCCTGTGTCAGCACAAGTGTGCGGTGAGGGTGGGAACTGGCTCATTGGACTGCCTATGCTGAGCCCTTCTGGGGAGCATGCGCCCTCAGTGTAAACTCTCTTGCAGAAAACGATTCGGAATGCTGGAAAAGGGAGATCTGCACAGTCACACAGTGCTCTGTCCCTATGCCCTGGCTGCAAACTTAGGACCCTTTCAACACAGGACGATTCGTTGCCCTATGAGGATGGTGAGTATGTGAGTTCTGCAAACTCGCTAAATAATGGCATTCTTTATTCGGATAATGTTTCGCATTATTGTCAGGTACTGCTTAGGCTTGGGGAACCCAATGGCAGACAAGACAGATTTGGGGACTTGAATCAGTTAGACAGGATAACGGGGACAGAGAAGCTAAGATGATCCCCAGAGTTCTGCTTGGGGCACCTGAAAGGATACCAGAAAAGAAGCTGGTTGGAGAGAGATGGCTATAAGTTTGGTCTCTGGTCTGTGGGACAGGGAAGGATGGGGGCATTTCAGGTAGAGATCACTGGCTCCATGGGCTTGGGGTTTAATGGGAAGATAACAACAAATCATAGTTCATTATCTGTTTTCAAACTGAAAAGCAAACACCACTCATTATACGTGTATTTTGTGTCATCCCTGTGTTTCAAAGAGGAAGGGCTGTGGTCCTTGTCTTGAATCTTACTGTCCAGTGGATGAAGAGGTATGTAAGTGTAGACTATGTTTTCCTAAGGGGGCTGGCTGGTTGATTCTGGTTGCCCTTGGAAGGCCTTGGTCCCTCTTCACAGGGGCCTCTCCTGTCCCACAGATTTCTTCGGTGTCCTTCCATCATGGTAGCTGCCTTTCCCCTTCTGAAATTAGGATGAGACAAGTGTTTGCACCCACTACTTTTAGCATCCAGGCTGGAAGTCCAACATCAAAGTGCTAGCAGGGTTGGTTCTCCTGAGCTGCTGCTGTTGGCTTGCAGCCTCGATGGTCCGTGGCTTTTCCTTCAGGTACCTTGCCCTGTTACCTCCCACCCCCTTTGCAATGTTTGTTCTGTTCTCCTAAATCAGCCATCAATCCTCCACCTGTATTCCAGCTTCCAAACACTGTCTTGTCAGGTGCTCCTGTCAATTTCTGTTGCAAATGTATTCCTTTGGCCATTCCAATCGCTTGGCTGTCATTTTGGCAGTGTTTGGAGAACCAATGCTAACTATGTATTCAAGTTCCCATGTTGTCACCTGAGGCTCTTGGGATGTTAGAGATTGCAGTTGTATCTGCAGTCAGACCCCCCTTTCCTTCCAAGTGTTGTTGATTTATGTTTTCTCTCTTTTCATTCTTTGCCAGAGCATTTTTTAAAAAAACTCTTTCAAAGAAACAACATTTGGTGTTATTGATCTTCTCTGTGTCATTACTTTTTGCTGTCATGGTGAGTTCCTTCCTTTCTGTTTTCTTTGGGTTTATATTTGTGGTTTAGAAAAATTTGGTGAGCTACTTCAGTGGCTCATGTCTGCAATCCTAGTTACTTGGGAAGCTGAGATCAGGAGGATCATGGTTAAGGCCCAACCCCAGGTGAATAGTTCGTGAGATAACCTCTCCCCCAATCTTCAAAAAATTAACCAGAGCAAAATGGACGAGGCACGGCTCAATGGTAGAGCGTCTTGCTTGCAAGCACAAAGGCCCGAGTTCAACCCTCAGTCCCACCAAAAAAAAAAAAAAAAGAAAGAAAGAAAGAAAGAAATCTTGTTGAGTTGGGGCTCACCTTATTCATTTTAAGGCTGTGTGTTGATCAGCTTCCCA